TGCATCAATACAAATGCAGCAAACGTATGCACACACAATTCATACATCCACGAGCAGAGCCACGCTTATTTAATCACGAGGTAGGATTTTCCTGCAGAAACGTGCTTGGTTTAGGTGGTTCTAACTGTTCTCACCAGGCCAAAGGTCCCCAAGGTGCCCCCATTATAGGGACCTCTCAATTTCTCGATCCTCGGGTCATGCACTGAACTCCGTGGCGACACCCTTAGACCAAAAGAAGAGAGTTATCACCTTGAGTTGGTGGTTTTCCGACAACGACGAGTAGCCCCGTGTGCCAACTAACCGATCGTATCCGCCACCCACTCCTTATAGATATTCACTCTTGCCCCGGGTATAGAGGGACTGTTGTGTGCAAGGGTTTTGTGTGCAATTTATATTTCAAACAATTTGCGAGAAAATAATCATACAAGCAGTTATTAAAGCCATACAAGTAGAAAACATACGAAGGGTAAAGGCGTAATTTCAAATCTTTACTTAGTTTGAATTTATCTGTCACTAAATGGGATCAACTCTCTAGCTTCCCCAGTGGAGTCGCCATCTGTCGCCGCCGTCCCTTTCCGACGTCCTGGGGACGTCTTAGAAATGTTTATGCGAGCGGTCGCGAAAAGATGGTTTAGACTCGCGTTATTGTTTTAAAAGGTTTTCGAAAAGGGGTTCTTATGGAGTCGCCACCAATGTTTTGACCATAAACATTGGAAAAGGAAAAAATGTTGATTTTAAGAAAAACCGCACTTGGCCATTATAACCGGAGTTGGGTAAGGGAGTTAGTTACGTGTGGGGAAGGTGTTAGCACCCCACAACGCCCTTTCGGGTTCCCTATGACAGATTAATTCATTTAAATAAAGACTACGAGAAATTACGCGATTACCCTATTTTATTACATAATATTAAATGGCTATCTACATGATTTTATTCTATGTTGCATGCATAAAATGATGAATAAAGTTAAATAAAGCAATAAAAGAGATATTAAAATAGCTATCTACATGATCCTATTCTACATGACATAATAAAGCTAAATAAAACAATAAAACAATAAATAAAACTATAAAAGAGAAGGGAATTGAAAAGAACCTCCGTAGCAAGCTTTATATTGAGAATCTCGAACCGTGAGGATGCGTTTTGGCAACCCCTCTCTCTACACAGTCTCTCCTCACCAATACAAGATCGACTCCACTAAAAATTTAAAGAAGAATCGAATGCCGGAATATAATTCCTTAACCGATTGTTACCTCTTTAAGGCAATCGGAAAGATCATTCGAGAGAAGGAGAGAAGTAGACAAGTGCTCTAAAGTGTTTCGAGCTCTCTGGAGTGTCCGTGGTGTGAAAAAGTGGCAAATGAGCCTCCTATTTATAGTTTTTCGCAGTCGGCGCACTTTGGGACGGCCGTCCGGGTTGGGACGGCCGTCCGGACCGGGATGGCCATCCCAAATGGCAAATTTACACGAACGGGACCCCCAGGAAGGCCGGGACGGCCGTCCCACTTAAACCGGGTTTGGGACGGCCGTCCCACATTCGGACGCGCGTCCCAACCGCTTAATTGCGGTTGGGACGGCCGTCCCACTTTGGGACCGTGGTCCCGGCCTGTTTTGTCCGAGCTTTCGTGTTCGGGACCCCGGGAAGCTTTCCTTTCCTTTTTCGGACGTAGATTGATGTCGATGTGTGTCCGTTGAAGCTTTATCTTCATATAGGAAGTCTTCTTGGCCTTCATTAAGATGCCGGGCGAGTTTTGTCTTTGTGTAGGAAGTCTCTTTTGGCTTTTACCGTGTGAATGAGTGAACTCCGTCTTCTGTTGTGGGAGGTCCTTCTTGGTTTTTCTTTGATATGAAGCCGGGTGAACTGTATGAAGTTTCCCTAGCTTTTATTTGAGAGGCCGGGCAAAATTAGGGGTCTACAGAGATTTGTGAGGAAACCCCCCAAGCGCGCCCCCATTATATAGGATTTTTTCTAGGTCGAGACCGCCGTCTGGGAAGTCGAGACGGCGGTCTTGTTTGGTCAACAAATCGAGACGGCGGTCTCGATAACCCAGACGGCGGTCTTGACTTTGCCTAAGTCGAGACGACGGTCTGCTTTCTCGAGACGGTGGTCTCGTTTGGTCAGCGAAACGAGACGGCGGTCTGAAAAACCCAGACGGCGGTCTCGAATTTCGGGTGATTTTTTTTTTTTTTTTTTTTTTTGCATAAGGAATAGGACCTGGTTCAAAAACATTTTATGCATGCAAATGCTTTCATGTTTGATGTCCTATAATGCTTACTTTGTTTAATATTTCAGAAGGACTTAACCAACGTGTCTTTGTAGCGCCGAGTGCCTCCTGATCTGTGCTTTTGTACATGTTGTACCATACCGGACTTTTTATGACCGAAGAGTAGTTTCTTTCTTTCTTTTTTTCTTTTTCTTTTTTGTAGAGCACTCTTTGTCATGCAGTGTCCCTTTTTCCTTGTTTTAGGGATTTCAATCCTCTTGTTGACTATACGCCTCCATATTCCCAAATTAATTATTAGAATATTGTAGTGAGGGTCAAGAGAAAAGAAGCAAAAGGGGGTAAAAATCAATGGTTTGTGTTTTAGAAGGTTGATTTTTATTGATAAGAGGATTTTGTAAGAATGGCCGGCTAGGGTTAAGCCTGGGTGTTTAAGCTTTGTCTAAGCAAACATTTTCCTCTTTCTTTTTTGTATCTGCGCTCTCAGGTTTTATTTTCATTGCTTTTTAAATGGCTAGCTGATTTCCCTAGATCGCCCTTTGGGTTTTCGAACTAGGATACTGTGTGTTGGCCCTATCTTTTGTCTAGGTTCTCTCTCTTGTAAAATTTTGGAGGAATCCTAGCGGACCTTTATTTGTAACCCTAACTTTTGCCTAGGTTACCCTTTATTGTTGTTCGGGCATCCTACCGGGTTGACCCTATCTTTTGTGTAGCCCCCTTAGTGGGTTTCCTACCGGGTAATTTGCCCTTTTCTTTGGCCTTTGGCTTCTCTGGGCTTTTTCTTTGTTTTTTGTTGTTGTGTGTTTTTTTGTATTTGTTTTTTGTTCACAGTATTGGCGAAGCGTGACTTCTTTCATGGCTTAGGTGAAGTCTTTGTTTTTTATGTGCTCCTAATCAACTAACTTGATGATGATAGTAATGATGAAGGTTTGATTATTTGGAAGCGCTTCTTATTCTTTTTTTTTTCTTTTTATGTTTACTTAGACAGGGTTATTTATGGGGTCCAGTCAAAAGTAGAAAGAAGAGAAGCAGATAGAAAGAATCATTCTTTATTAATTAATAAGGGAATATGTGCCCTAAGATGCCCGGGGGTCGGGCTCGCCCCGGGGGATAATCTCTAACAATCATGGGGTTTACATCCCTTAAACAAAGAAAAAGATTTCCTAATGACTAGAGTGGCTCTCGACGCTTGTACCCCTCCACTTCGGAAAATCCGCTTGAGTGTGCGGAGGGGGACTTCCCTTTGCTTTTCCCGCTCGGCCCTTGAAAGGGTTATATCCTAGGCCATACTTGTGGGGATTGTCTTTGAATTCCGGGGTTCCCTCATTCCTTGGGAATCGCCTCCGGTCCTTGGCCGAGATGGTAGCCATGCTTCAACATCATGCGGGCTACCTTGGTATTTCTGGGAAGTCGCTCTATACTGGCAATTTCGAGCGCTTGAAAAGATGTTTCAAGAGCCTCTTCAGCCGCATCCACATAAGGTTGGGTGGACGGTCCACTGATCAGGATATCGTCTTCTGCTTGAACCATGACCAGTTTGTCATCCACTACGAATTTGACTTTTTGGTGGAGCGTTGAAGGTATTGCCTTAGCGTCGTGAATCCAAGGCCTGCCGAGGAGACAACTGTATGCTGGAGTGATGTCCATTACGTGGAAATCGACGTTGAAGATAGTGGGTCCCACTTGGATTGGCAAATTGATCTCTCCCACTACTTCTCGAACGATGGTGCTGCTTGGGCGCAAACGGGTTCCTTGGATAGTCAACTTTTCCAGTGTGCACTTGGGCATCACGTTCAGGGACGACCCGTTATCCACAAGAACTTTGGCAATGAGGTATTCCTTGCATTTGACTGAGATATGCAAGGGCTTGTTGTGGTTTGACCCCTCTAGGGGGAGTTCTTCCTCTGTGAAGGTGAGATGATCGCTTGTTGTAATGTGACCGACGATCCTCTCGACCTTTTCTTGAGATATGGTATGAGGTACATGCGCCTCGCTCAAGACCTTCAGCAGGGCATTCCGGTGCGGTTCCGAGCTCATTATCAAAGATAGCAATGTGATCTTTGCGGGCGTTCGGTTGAGCTGGTCTATAATGGAATACTCACTTTGTCTTATAAATTGGAGTAGTTCCTCTGTCTCCTCCTTGGATTCTTTATTTTCTTTTTCTTCTTCGGTCTTTTTATTTTTTCCTTTATTTTGAAGGACATTTTCTTGTGTGTCCTTGGGGGAGTAGATTCTACCACTTCTAGTTGTGCCCCCAATGCCGGCTTTGTTTGTTATTTCTTCTTTCGTTGGTGAAGATTCCCCATATCTCCACGGTACAGCTTTATTTGATTCGTAGGGGAAAGGACGTGGCATAAATAGTCGCACTGGCATCCTTGCCCCCTCTTCTGTATTCTTGAGGACCAACGGCCGAGGTTTATTTCCCTCTTGCGGTGATTCGACCGTTGGGGTGAGCTTTATTAGGAGTGGCTTTCTTTCCATTCTTCTGAGTTGGAAGACGTGTTAGTTAATCCTTCCTTTTTATTATCTTATTTATTAAGCGTGAAGGAGGGGAAATTAAATATGCAAATGCATGTTCATGTATGCAAGTAGACAACTGCTGAATAAGAATATTTCATTAATTCATTGGAAGGTGTACATTCTCCTATTCCATACTACGAAGCGTCTTTTGACAAAAACGGAAAAGCCTAAAGAAACCCACAGGCGGGTCGTGTTTTCTTTGTAATTCTCTCTCGGCTTCCCGGACATGGTGAGCGAGCACTTCACTTTGCTTGTGGATCGCTTAGCTCATTTCTTCGTTGTATTTTTGAGCCTCCTTGATCTTTGTCTCTTGATGTATGACCAAGGCTTCTAGTTCATCGATCCTTGCAACAGCTCGGTCCTTTTCTTGTAGCACTTGGTCATATTGAGCTAGCCCGCTTTTGTCTTTAATGCGTAGCTCATAGAGACCTCGGTTGAGTTTTCTGTTGTTCTCTCGCTCTTGGCGGAGATCTAGCCGAGGTTGGAGGAGTTGTTCTGACAACTCCTTGATCGTTTGAGCCTGTTGAGCTGATTCCGCCTCAAGGTGTGCTAACCTGGCGGTTATTTCCTGTAGTTGGTTATCCGAGCTGGTTCTGGCAGTTTTAGATGCTCGGATAGCTTGTTCGTTAGCGTCAGCACATTGGTCCTTGAGGCGTTCTATTTCATGATCCTTTTTCTTGCCTTGCCTTTGTAAACCGTCAATCGTGAGGATAGAGGCTTGTTCCTTTTCCTCAAGGGCCCGTATCTAGGCTCCCATTATTTCTACCCTCTGGGTCAAGGCATTGACTTGTGCCTGCAGCTCTTCGTTGTTGGCGATTGGCGCGGGTGTGGTGGATGGTCGAGCCATCTCTCTTCTTCTCCTCCACGCCTCATAGTCACTGGTGACAGTCACCCGAGCTTTTCCTAGCTCTCTGTCTCCCATATAGACTGGCTTCTCCCATGCTTTCCTCACGGTCAGTGAGTTGGCGATTGTGCACGGGTCTCCAAAGAAGCACAGCCCTCCGAGTTCCCCTCGGGAGATAGTAGTTTGAGTCCTCATGAGTTGCCTCATAGCTACTCTAGGTGAGTAGGCTATGCAACCCCTGAGTCCTATCAAGGGTACATTCGGGTAGCTCCCACATCTGATGAGAACTGGGCCGGGTTGGAACCAAGGGCAGACCCAAGATATGCTGTTGGCGTCCTTTTGTTCTAACTCATCCCTCCATTCTATAGTCAGGCGTTGTCGCCGCCGTCAAAAACGAGGCGGTCGGAGCGACGCGATGGTTTTATCGACCCTCTTGTTTTCGCGTTTTTATTGGTGGTTACAACGTCCTTAGGTTGTCCGATAACCGGGCTAACCTAAAGACGAGGTTTTCGAAAAGTGTCCTTGAGTTGTCCGACAACCGGGCTAACCCAAGGACTTATTTGTTTTGGGTTCTATGGAGTCACCACCGATATTTTTACCATAAACATCGGAAAAGGGGTTTTAAAAAAGCGTTGGTTTTCGGAAACCAACTTTGGTCATTAGAACCAGAGTTGGGTAAGGGAGTTGGTTACGTGCAAAGGGAGTATTAGTCCCTTTGCGACGCCCCTTTCGGGTTCCCTATGATAGGTCGGCTTATTTTTATTGATAAACTAGAAAAACGCACTTTTGCCCTTTTTATTCTGCGGAATTTAAAAGTATGACTACATGGCCCTAATGTCTACTGCATAATTTAAGATAAAAGCGGTAAAGGTGGAAAGAGAGAATTTGAACCTCCGAAGCACGCTTTTTATGTTAATTCTCGGGAAAATAGGGTGCTTTATGGCAGCCCTTCACTCTACAAGACGTCGGAAACCTCTCGAACGCCGAAAATCACTCTTGAAAACACTCAGAAACTCCGGAAATGCGTCGGAGGGATTCTAGAGAGAAGTTTTAGAGAGAAGGGAGAGCTATGCAGCTGTGGGGTGTGGAAATGAGGGGGGAAGAGCCCCTATTTATAGGTTTCCGCGCTGTCAGGTGGCGAGACCGCCGGTCTCGTCTGACAGCAACGAGACCGCCGTCTCGCACAACGAGACCACCGTCTCGTTTAACATAAGCAACGAGACCGCCGTCTCGTACAACGAGACCGCCGTCTCGTACAACGAGACCGCCGTTACACGATAAAAAACGAGACCGTCGTCTCGTACAACGAGACCGCCGTCTCGTTTTCGTAGGTAACGAGACCCCGGTCTGGGTGAACGAGACCCCGGTCTCGTTTTCGTAGTCAACGAGACCCCGGTCTCGTTGGAGCATCCGTCGCTCAAGCGAGTATACCAGTCGCTTGAGCGAGACTTGACCCGGGAGTCCCCTTTGTTTGCGGCACCTGTCGCTCAAGCGACGGACGTACTCGCTTGAGCGAGACTTGACCCGGGAGTCCCCTTCAACGCGAGAAACTTTATTTTGTGCCAAAAAACCCTCCTATCTTGGTATGGGAGCCTAATAGTCTCTCCTAGTGGCTTGTTAGGCTCCGGCCGTCTTCGAATAGGGGACCTTCTGACTTTATTTGGAGGCCGGGCAAGATTTGGGGTCTACAGCTGCCCCCCTTTACCCATCCAGCCGACTACCGGCCTTCACGTTGTCGGGATGATCGACCGGGGGTAAAGGAGTTGACCCTCTTGCTCGGTTGCCTTTCGGATGTCCCGTCTTGTGGCGGATGATCCTCCGGGGAAATGTTGTGGTCGCGTGCCTTCGAGATACTACTTCGATGTAGCCGATCCCTTTGGTGAACACGTGGTAGAACCTCCGGATACAACTTCGACGTAGCCGATCCTTCGGTTGATGAGTATAAACCCCCATCAGCCGGTAGTTGCGATCCGTTGTGTGGGACCGGATGGGTATGAACCCCCCATCGAGCCGGTAATGGCGGCTTCATCGCTCAGGTCGCTCATGCGCCGTCTCTCCGGGGAATGATTTTTGTGCTCGTGCACTTCCAGGATACTACTTCGACGTAGCCGATCCCTTCGATGGACACGTGGTGGAACCTCCGGATACTACTCCCGACGTAGCCGATCCTTCGGTTGATGAGTATAAACCCCCCATCGGCCGGTAGTTGCAGTCCGTTGTGCGGGACCGGATGGGTACGAGCCCCCATCGAGGTGGTACGGTCCGTTGTATGGGACCGGATGGGTATGAGCCCCCATCGGGGTGGTACGGTCCGTTGTATGGGACCGGATGGGTATGAGCCCCCCATCGTGGTGGTACGGTCCGTTGTATGGGACCGGATGGGTATGAGCCCCCATCGGGGTGGTAATGCGACTTACCGATCCGGCTCGGGCGCAGATCAAGCGCAGCTCTCCGGAGAGTGCCGCTTGTGTTGATTTGACTGCTTTTCTGATTTCTTGAATAGTCATCCGGGCCATGCCGGGGATTTTGTTGGTGATCAATCAGCCTTTGCTGATTGCCGGGGGTCCTTTGTTTTTGTTCTTTTGGTAGTGATCTTCCAATCTCGGCTGGTTGGTTGGATGGATCTTGGTTTTGTTTAGCTCTTGTTCGATTAAAGCTTTATTGGTTGGTGCGACGGTTTTAACCCTGCCTTTTTCTCGCGGTTTATCTCTCTTTTTTCTCACGATCTTAGGGTTTTGGCTTTTTCTGAGCATATGTCTTTTTTCTTTTCTTAGTTTTTTGTTGCGCCGGCTTTTGTAACGGAGGCAAAAGGTCGACGAAATCATATTGAGATGAATGCAAGCATGAGGCTAAATGCTTTCTATAGTATTTTTGTTTGTTTTACTCTTGACAAAGTCATTTTTGTGTGACTACTTGTGTGTGGATGCCCTAAATGTAGTTCCATTTGAGGACGTTTAGGAAGTGACCGATGCTTTCCTTCTTTTGTTTTCTCGTGATTATTCTTTTTGCACTTTTTCAACCCTATCTTCTGCCTAGACCGCCCTTTGCGGGTTTTTGGTCTAGCGGGTTTTAATTCTTTCCGTGAGGTATTTTGATGAGCTTTTCCTTTTTATAAAAGCCTTATTTTTTTCCTAGACCGCCCTTTGCGGGTTTTCGATCTAGCGAGCTACCCCGTACTTTTTACTTGGGACGACCCCGGTTGGTGATGTGCGTCTTTTGTTATTATGCTTTCTCAAATTGCTTGTTTTATGCATGCTCATATTTCGTTAATACAGTAGACATTTACGCAAGTAGGTAAGGAGAAGAAAAGACAATTTTATTGATATAACGATATGGTTTATGGAGGTTTACAAGAGAATTTGTAAGCATGGTCGGTCGGGGTTGGCTAAACCGTATGAGGGTACCACAATCATATCTCGTGATTTTTGCTTCCCCATTCTTCCCGGTCACTTTAGTTGAGATGCCTAAGCCCGGAGTGAAGACTATGCGAAGTTTGCTTGTTGTTGCGTAGTATTACCTTAGTCGCCTTTGCGGTTTTCGGCTAAGGTAATCATTGCTCTCCCTTTTTTTTTTTTTTTTTTTTTTTTTTTTTTGTGTGTGTGCCTCTACTTTTTGCCTAGGACGTATCCTAGCGAGGTATATAGGCCCTATCTTTTGCCCAGGACGCTCTTTGCGAGTTTTCATCCCGACGGGTCACGAGCAATGCTCCTTAAGCGTAATATTTTTTTACCACATCCGAGTTGATAGGATATCGGAGTTCTTCTCCGTCCATATTGGTGAGGATAAGGGCTCTCCCCGAGAAGGCTCGCTTGACCACAAAGGGTCCTTCATAGTTGGTCGCCCATTTCCCGATTTTGTCTTTCTCGTGCCGGGAGCAGTTTCTTTATTACTAGATCTCCTTCTTGGAAAGTGCGGGATTGACCTTCTTGTCGTAGGCCTTCTTGATTTTTCGTTGATAAGCTTGTCCTCGACATATGGCGTTCGATCGTTTTTCTTCTATTAGGTTCAACCGATCATACCGGTTCCGGACCCATTCAGCTTCCGTCAATTTGGCTTCCATGACGACTCGTAGGGAGGGTATTTCGACCTCTACCGGTAGTACGACCTCCATTCCATAAACGAGGGAAAAGGGAGTAGCCCTCGTGGAGGTCCGTATCGATGTTCCGTAGCCGTGTAGGGCAAAGGGAAGCATCTCATGCCAGTCCTTATAGGTGACCACCATTTTCCGGATAATTTTCTTGATATTTTTGTTGGTCGCCTCCATCGCACCGTTCATCTTTGGTCTGAGTACGGAGAGGAATTGTGGTGCTGAATTTTGAAGTCTTGGCATAATTCCTCCATCATCTTATTGTTGAGATTGGTCCCATTGTCAGTAATGAGCCTATGAGGGATGCCGTACCGACATATAATGTTTTTCTTGATGAAGGTGGTCACCACTTTCCGGTTACGTGTGCGTATGACGCCGCCTCAACCCACTTGGTAAAATAGTCGATTGCTACTAATATGAAACGATGGCCGTTAGAAGCTTTGGGTTCGATGGGTCCGATGACATCCATGCCCCACATAGAAAATGGCCATGGTGTAGCCAGGTTACCGAGGGGTGCGGGCGGCACATGAATGTTATCGGCGTAAACTTGGCACTTATAACATTTCTTAGCGTATTGGTGACAATCGCCTTCCATCGTGGACCAATAGTACCTCGCCTCGAGGATTTTCTTTGTCATGACATGCCCCGGTGCGTGGGTTCCAAAAGTCCCCTTGTGGATTTCTTTTATCGTTGTTTGGGCTTCTTCTTGGTCCACACACCTTAAGAGAGTGGAATCGGGGCTCTTCTTGTAGAGGGTTCCTTCAATCAATGTGAACCCTATGGCCCTTTTGCGAATGGTTCGCTTATCATTGTCACCGATTCCCTTGGAGTATTCTCCCTTCATGAGGTACCGCTTAATGTCATGGTACCAGGGGTTTTGATCGCGCTCGTCATTTACCGCCATACGTAAAGCTTGCTTATCGTGCGGCTTGACTTGAATGATTGGCATCTCATGTTCCTGGTCCAGGGCAAACATGGATGATAGTGTGGCTAGGGCGTCGGCGATTTGATTATCCTCCCTAGGAATGTACTCGGAAGGTGACACTTTCCATTCTTGCGACCAGCTCGTGGATGTACTCTAGATATGGGATCAATTTGGCGTTTCGGG